TGGGTGGGTTAGTGTCAACCTGGAAAGATGTGTGCAGTGGAGTCCCTCAGGGCTTAGTTCTGGGGCCAGTGCTGTTCAACATCTTCATTAGTGATGTGGACGAGGGGGTGGGAAGCACCCTGTCCAAATTCGTGGATGACAGTAAAATATGGGGTGAAGCTAACACCCGGGAGAGGAGGAACCAGATCCAGGCTGATCTAGACAGGTTGGGGAAGTGGGCAGAGAGCAACAGGATACAGTTCAATAAGGACAAGTGCAAGGTGCTGCATCCAGGGAGGAAAAGCTGCCATCATACCTATAGGCTAGGGGGCAACCTTCTCAGCACCACTGAGGCAGAAAGAGATCTTGGAGACACTGTTGACTCCGGATAAACATGAGTCATCAATGTGATGAAGTAGCTGCAGAGCTAATTGCACCTTGTCGTGCATCCGTAGGTGCTTCACAAACAGGTCCAGGGAGGTGATTCTCCCTCTCTACACAGCACTGGTCAAGCCGCAGCTGGAGTACTGTGTCCAGTTCTGGATGCTGCAGTTCAGGCGGGATGCGGACAACCTGGAGAGGGTCCAAAGAAGAGCCACTCATCTGATTGGAGGCCTATAGGGGAGGCCCTATGAGGAAAGGCTAAGGGACCTTAACCTTTTCAGCCTCTCCAAGAGAAGGTTGAGAGGGGACCTTGTGGCGGTGTACAAATTCATAAGGGGGGAACGACACAAAGTAGGCAATGATCTGTTTACCAGGGCACCCCCTGGAATAACAAGGGACAATGGCCATAAGCTACTGGAGAGTAGGTTAAAACTGGACATTAGAAAAAAGTTCTTCATGGTCAGGGTTGCCAGGATCTGGAATGGGCTTCCAAGGGAGGTGGTGCTCGCCCCATCTTTGGGGGTCTTCAAGAGGAGACTGGATAGGCACCTGGCTGGGATCACATGATCCCAGGTTTGGTGACCCTTTTCTTGCCTGCCAGGGTCAGGGAGTCAGACTAGATGGCCCGCTGAGGTCCCTTCCAACCCTGGAATCTATGAATCTATGTAATAAGTGTACTCTCTAATCCAGTGGTTTTCAATCTGTGGTCCACAGAACACGGGGGTTCTGCATGAGGTCATCAGGGGTTCTACAAAGAGCTTCGGGGTAATGGCAGAGCAGGCTGGGAGACAGTGCACTGCCATTTCAGGGAGAGGGGTTCCCTGGCAGAAAAGGTTATATGAAAGGGTTCGGTGACTTTAGGAAGTTTGCAAAATACCGCCCTATTCCATCTTCTAGGCCATTAGTGAAAATACTGAGTAGTACTTGACTTAGGGCAGACCCTTGCAAATTTGTTTGACATCTTTCTTAACTTAAGAGTACTGATAATTGCGTTGAGTGTGGTTTTCCAACTAGCTGTATACTAACTAATTTACAGTAGTTTCTTTGAGGCCAGGGCTGGATTTGGGCAATGGGACTCCTCATCATGGTTTCCAAGGCTGCTGCATCAGCACCAGAAGCAAAAGAGTTAATGCCACTGCAGCTGAAGCCATAGCAAGACAGCAGCAGTGTTTTAAGGAAAACTTTTCATGTTCCAAGCCAAATCAGCCAAATCAATTCCGAATTCGTGAGTCATTCAAGAACCATATATGGCCCTACTACCAGAAAACATCCTCCACCCACACCTGGGATTTTAGATGTTTCCAAATCATTTGGCAGACATCCTATGTGCAGGCCCAGGCCCAGAGGCTTGGGATTCAGATAACCCAGGGTTCAGCCATAAGGCCTCAGAGGCAAGCTAGGGAGGAGTCTCCCAGTTCCATAAAGTTGGCGTAAAGACAAGATCTTCCCACTGGAAATGAAAGTGGGAGGGTAATTATACATTACCTCCACCTGGGTACTACCCCATGCCAGAACAGCGGTTATCCCCTGTCCCTGGGAAAACCACCCTGGTGATCAACAGTGTTAATTCCTTTGCTGCTAGTGCTGACAAAGAGCCTCCTATCCTGCTGGTAGCCACAGTGAGAAGCCCCATGGGCCCAGTGACCCACCGCCCTCAGGCCAGATCTGACCAATGGTCTATATATTTGATATCTCTTTCCTGACCAGATTTCCCTGGTTTACTTAAGAAGATACCATGTGGTATCAAAAGCCTTACTAAAGTCATGATATATCATATCTACTGTTTCTCCCTACCCATAATGGCCATTTTAACCACTTTTCTATGAGTTAAAGATAATCTCTTCAGTCAGTTGCTTAAGTACCCTGGAGTGAATTACATCAGGCCCAGTTCATTTGAAAACATCTATCTTTCCTAAGCAATTTCTAACATGTTCCTTTCCTATTCTAGCCTGAATTCTTATTCCCTTGTCAATAATGCTAATTGTGTTAGCTAGCTGAACAAAGTTTCCCCTTTCAGTTAAGACTGAAGTAAAACACTTTAGATTTCTTCGCATAGTCAGTTTTCCTCCCCATTAAATATTGGACTGACTCTTCCCTTGGAATTCATCTTGTTTTCAAAGTTACGTGCTATATCTTGCTAGTTGTATCTCATTTTGAGCTTTGGCCTTTCTGATTTAGCCTCTACATGTTTCTGTACCTGTAAATGCTTCCTAGTAAAATGACACAGTTTTTACTTTTTTTATAACTCTCTTTTGGGGAATTGGATAGCTCCTGATTTAGCCAAGTCAGTCTCTTAAGATATGAACTGATGTTAACATTTGAAGTGTTTCAGAAATGGAGGATTTCATCTGTGGACAAAGATGCAGTCATGTGTTGCACCCCCCCCCCAGCTGAAGTGCCTCAGAATAATACCATAGCTGCATGCAGTGTTGCGCTCTCCAGCCAGAGGGCATGACAGGGTGCTGCAGCAACCCCCCACCCTGCCCCAGAGGATGGGAGGAGCAGAGGGGACTGTCAGTCCTGCAACCTAGCCAGTCACTTTCTCACTCTGTACTTGTGCATGCAATTATTCTGTCCCAAGTGTAGGACGTGCATTTGTCCTTGTTGAATTCCATCTGGTTGACTGCAGACCATTTTTCCAGTCTAGCTGGGTTTATCCAGTCTATTCTATTCTGAATCCTAACCCTGCCCTCCAGATTGTCTCCAGTTCCTCCCAACTTGCTGTTGTCTACAAATTTGCTAAGTGTACACTCAGTCCCATCATCCAGATCATTAATGAAGATGTTAAACAATACTGGATCCAGGATAGATCTTGGGGGAATCCCACTTGATCCTAGTCATTGAGCCATTAATGACCGCTTGCTAAGGATGATGTATGAGCCCCCCCTCCCCCCCATGGCTACCCCTCTTGCCCCAGCTCTGGCCCTTTAAGGGAAAAAAAAAACCCCAAGAACCCCCGAACTCACTGCTTCCTGCCTGGGGGGGATCCTTGCTGCTCCATGCCAAATGGGGGTGCTCTTCCACAAGACCCCTGAAGCCCCGAGGCTGCTGCAGTCCTGGGGGGGGTTGGAGTTTTTTCTTAAAGGGCCAGCAGCTGGGGCAGGCGGGGAAGCCATGGGGGGGCTGAGGGGGTCAGGGGCTCATGGCACAGCCCCTCCATGCAGCATGGGGCAGTGGGGGCATCCCCCCCACCTGGCAGCACCCGGTGAGTGGGGACTTTTTTTTTAAACAACCAGGAACTGGGGCGGG